AACAGGATTTTCCATCATTTCCAGCATTTTTTTGACATGTCGTTAGAGTTTCACCATCTTCCACCATGGCTTTCCAAATCGTCGCGTTTTTTTCGGACTTCACCACGGTCGTCAACGTATCCCAAAAACGGTCTGTCGGTCGCCCCAGCCGGACCGGAAGGGTCGGGTCCAAGTCCCGGGGCCCAAACCGGTCGAAACCGGTTAATATGTATTGTATGTTTATCGTATCATTATTCATAGAACTATAATTAACTAATGTATTATATGTTTATTAATGATACGATACATTGGTGAATAGTTGATAGAAAGTGTGAACACCTTCAGCTGATAGAAAGTGTGGACACCAAACTTTAATTCAAGGGATGATCTCAGCATGAAAGTCTGCGATGGAGAGATGCCAAAGCACTCGTACATGTCATCCACCAAATGATTCTGAACTCTTGCTACTAGAGCGCAAGAGTCACCAGGCCAGAGTTTTCCAAGTTTTGTCACCCGTTTACATTGTTTACATTGTTTTGTTGAATGTTTTTAATTGTTTTTATTTGTTTTAACTTCAACGTGCTCATTGTCTTTTCTTCAGAGATGTTCATTGCATTTCATGTTTTTCAAGTGCTGTTCATTGTATCTGATTGATGTTCATTGATTTTCCGTGTTTATATGTTTCATTGTGTACCTCACAATGCGTTTTTTTTTTTCAAGGTTGTTCATTGTTTGTTTCTTGCTGGTTTTTGTTTATTTTTCCAAATAAATATTTAACTATTACTGTAGGTTTTTTTTTTTGCCATTTTTGTTTGGTCATTTTTATATTTTCATCGATGTTTTTTGAAATAATATGTGTTTCACCATTTCGTGGGTCAACCATCCGTTGTAGCCCGTTTTTTTGGGTCGGTGTAGCCGGGAAGACCTGGAAGGCCTGTCACTGGGTCGATGTCCTCAAGCTCAGTGGATTATAATGATACTAAAATGATACTAAAATGATACTAGGGTTTGTTGAAAATCGTATTTTTGTGGGTTATTTGGCGTATTTTTGCGGATTATGTGCGTACTTTTGCGTTTTTTTTGCGTACATTTTGTTTGTGGTTTGGAGCATTTGAGGATCAACACACTGCAATGTTTACAATACGACGGAAAAAGTTGCATGTATTTTTGTCATTAGGGGCAGGTCGGTGGGACCATGCCTGAATAGTGGGGCGGATGAGCAGGAACAATATATTCTGTGTGTGCATATGCAGCAAAAAGTTGCAAAACATGTTGGTGTCTCTAATTCATGGAACAGAATTTATTGACCTGACACTCAACGTAGTCCCACAGGCAATCTTGATTACGGATGTCTGAATGATAACCAAAAGTTCTTGCGCCACTTGATTTCTGAACGTTTGATCCAAATGTGCCAATCTGGCATGTTTACAAGATTTGCGCACTGTTTGCGACTTGCGTTCAAAGTTCCAACAGGACATTTTTTTTTGGTATTTTTGAAGGTCCAGGCAGGAAATTTTGAACAATTTATTGCTCACATTTTTTCTCCCACAGTTTTTTTTATCATTTGCAAGGGGGTTCCATCCGTTGTAGCCTGGAAGACCTGGAAGACCTGTGGGTCCAAGTCCTTGAGTCCATATAATATAGATATAATTTTGTTTTATATATATGTCATTTGTCATTATTTTTCATGATTTTTCATTTGTGACATTAAGTGACATTGTTCGATTTTTGCAGGGATAATTTTATCAAGGCCCAATCATGGAAAATGTTGTTGTTGCAATGTTGTGTATGTTTCATGTTTTTCAACTTCAAAATGTCAGTGCCATGAAAATGGCCAAATGGCCCAATCGAAATAGTGGATTTTCCCATGACCATGGTGATTTTCCATAGTTAAACGTTTACACTGAGGGTATAAGGGAAGTAATCCCAAAAAAACACTGCATGTCAATGAGAATCACATATAGAAGCCACTGTTGTTCAAGTAGAGAAGCCACTGTTTCGACCCAAAAGAAATGAACGGTGGATTCTTGCGAAATCCTGGACCACCTTTGGATGGTTGAAACATGTTGAAACATGTTGAAACCCATGGTTTTCTTTTACCACATCCCTCAACTGGCGTAGAATTTGGCAACCGTCCAAGGTATCGCACACATAAATTATAGATGTATATCCCATCATATCCCACTATATTCCCATGATATTTCCAGTAAATCCCATGGTAAATTGAGAAAAAAACCGGGGGATCTTTCGGAGGCTTCAGTCAACGATCCTACTGACCTGCACTGCAGCTTCATCTCCAAGGATGTTGCCCTGGGAAGAACTGCTAACCTGAGGCGTGAGGCGTGAACTGTGAAGAACTCTGGTGATGGAACTGCTGAAGAAAGAATGGAATCACAGATTCTGGTAGAATACTTTATGGTATATCCCATGATATCCAGTATTTTTTTGGGGGGGGGAATCACATTCAAGATTTTATTATATTTTATTGAAGTAATTGTGATATATTGTTTAATTACTCCAATATATAATAAAATACATGTAAATTATACACAATTAGATATTGGAGTAATTAAACAATCTAATCGGTGATTGCACCAAACATGATTTTATGATGATTAGATTAATAATTATATAATGGCATCCCCTAATATCAAACCCCCAAAAATGGTCCCAAATATCTGCGAAATCTTGGTGGGTTCTTTGCATCGAGATCCTCCTGGAACAGTGTGCCTCATCCTGAATGGAAAGGCATGTATTTTTTTTGGTAATCCCTTCCCCCGTTCAAAAAAAACACCCGAAACGAAACCATGGTGGATGTAGGGAATTTCCACATTGGGACCATAGGCATGGGGTGTTTAATAAGTTTACTATGAACGGGTGATGGGATTATGGTTGATGATCTTCGTGACCAATCTCCTCGGAGTTGAGCAATCCGGAGATCATCTCTTTGAACAGTTCTATGATTAGGTGGTTCACCAAGCATCATCTCATAGAATCTTGGAACCACTTGAACCAAGATTCTTTCAACTTTCATCAACTTAATCTTTGAATTCATTTTGAGGTTCCGAATCCATTTGATTCATTGGGTACCACAAAATCTTTGAGTTAGCTGATTCCAAATCTGGATAAATATTGTCTGGGTAAACTGAAGTAGGATAATTACCATTTGATAACATGGGATAACCATTGGTATTACCACTATACAGTATATACTGGACATTTTGGAATAATTTCCCATTGGTACCACGAAGTTGTTCTGGTGATTCGGACTCTGCTTCCCATGCTGACATATGCTGACCAGTGACATCCAGGATCTTTCTCTCAGTGACTTCCAATTGCTCCTTGTTCTCACCTGCGATGAGTCGATGAGAGATTTCAGCCCCGGTGAATTTCACCCCGATGCTTCACAAGTGGCGGTTGGTGGTTACGGAGCCCTTAATAAACCTTTATCATTGGGCTGTCACTTTTGGGGGAGCATCCAAGTACCTATAGAAGTACCTGGGGTACTATACTCAATTGGGACTTTTACAGTAGCAATTTTGATGGGTACGGTACAGACGGAAAATCGGAAAGTCATAAGTACATGAAGTACCAAAATGATTCAAAATGGAGGCTTCCAGTTTTGTCCCCAAAAAATGCTCCAAGTCATTCAACCATGGTGACGACTCGGGATCCTCCATGACTTGAGAACCCACGTCCAGCGGGGGCACCTTCGACCAATCTGGCCTTTTCCTCTGCCAGATCTGGACGTTCCTGGAAGATGGATCTGGACCAAGGACCAAGGCACTGCAGTGTCTTTGATGCTTCAAAGTCGGAAACACGTAAAGGAAACCAAAAAAAAACAGATATCATTAGATATAGATCGAAAAGCGTGGTATCTCGATTTGTGATGCGCAGTTTTCTCTTTAGCAGCTCTTGAATCGAGCGAAGTACCCCATGACACCATGACACCATCAGGCTGCCTTTTCAACCACGATGTTCAGCAACTGGTCTTGTAGTCCCACCTGGTGAGATGGCTGCCAAAAGTGACGACTGCGGCATGTGAAGATTAAGCAATGTTCCTATAGTCTGCAGGGTCTCAAAATGGTAGGTGTATGCATTAGAAACACGCACAATATCACCCCAGGTACTCAAGTTAGCGACACACTTTCACTAAACTCGACCCAAATCCATCATCCAAATATCTTGAGCAAGTGGAAAAAGGGATGGACATTGATTTTGAAAGATGCTGCTGGCGAATTTTAAGCGAATTATTAAGAATGTTTGAAACCACCGGATACAGAAATTATGATGACTTATGTAGGTGAATGTACATAGTCCGACGATTCCAATATATTCCAACCATGTCCTGAACTTCACGCTATAGAAATCCATGATTCATCGGCTCAATTCAGCCCCTGAAGGGTCGCCCTCCGATCGATCCTCGACATTTTCGATCATGGGGTTGCCAAACTGGATGCGGTTGTCTTGTCTGATCCAACTACTTTCTGAGAATGGAAAACTATGGAAAACTTAATCTGAAAATATCCCTAAATCATACCCATTGCTACTGTATATTCTGTTCCAAGATGCACAGCTACCCATTCTTATGGCATGTTGCGCAGCAAATGTTTTTTGTTATGTGTTGATTGTTTGTAGTTCTTTGCAAGCCTCACAGGAAAAGTTGAATCCTGTCACAAGAATCTGTAGATGCCAGTGATACCTGACAGCATATGATAGCCTTTGGAAGTGAACTACATTTTTTGCTCTAAAATAATGGTTTTAAGCCTACTCTTGTCACAAAACACTGTAAATACGAGTATGTTTAAGCATTTTTAGTTTAAGAATCTCTCCCCCGTGTTAAATTTGTGGAGAAAAGACATGGCTTCCTTTAGATTGGCATTAAAACAATTGATCAATTATGAAATCCATTAAATCCATAATCATTACCTGAATCCCCAGGATTCCCAATTTTTAATACTTACAATTACTGAAACCGCCATTTGTGATGATCAAACCCATTCAAACACAACTTTTCATACTTAATCCACCATTTTCCGATGAATTGAGTCAGAATCTCTCAACGAAAACGGCCCTTCACCTTCCAAGCGCTGATAGTCGCCATCCGTAAACGCCACAACCAGCAGCAGTTGCCCCATCCTGGCACCATGCGCGGCTTGGAGAAACACACATAGACATAGAGGTTTCAACTGTAGATGTTCCCATCCAAATTCTGGAAGGTTAGAAACATCCTGTACATTCGTGACTTGAAGGTTGGATCTATTTTAGAACCTTTTTGAGAATATGTGATGAATTACATAATGAATGAAATCTCATTCTGAGCAAAAAAAATCAGTCCCATGTCCCGGGCCCCAAGACATGGCGTGCTTTTTGATCCACCGATTGCCCTTGTGGATGCATGAGGGCCACCTTGGAGGTGGGGAAACGCTGAAACGGGAGAGAAAAAACCATGGTATCTGGAAAAGGTTGGAAAATACTTGGAAATTGATGGAAATTGTGGAAATTGTGGTAAATAATGTTATCATGTTGATAAGAGCGTATTTTTTGTGAAACACGTCTTATTTTATAGACGAAATATAAGGTGAAATGAGTACAAGTATATATTTAGCTGGGTCCAAAACCAGGTGCCCATCATCCGTCCAAAAATGTGGTCAGAATCCTCAATCCAGACAATCATCACTGAGCCATACTGAGCATGGAACCGTCGTGCCTGCCGTATCCCCACAGAACAGTGCGCGCTTTTGTCACAGTCCGACATTGAATGGACAAGTCTGAATACGTCTTGCTAATTGCCCAGATGTCAGTCGCAAATCGCAACAATCCATAACAATCCAAGAACCAAGGGAAAAAACGTATATGAAGCCTTCTCCAAACATGTGATACCCCAAAAATTGTTGGTTAATCATTTTCCCTACTGACTGACGTGGCCAACAATATCCATAAATTGAGATTACCCTCTAGTAAACTAACATAACTATGGAAAATCACAATTTTAAATTGGTAAATCAACGAACTAAATGGCAATTTTCAATAGCAAATTGTTAGTTTACCAAACGATAAATCCAGCATTTTCAGTGCCCGGACAACCGCCTTGTCCATGATGATGCCATTCTCAATGCTGAAGGAGTCTTTCGGCAGTCCGGCCACCACCCAAGCCCTCACCTGCCATATCTGAATTTTAAAGAAATGACAATATTTTCTAACCCCCCAAAAAAATGTAAACGTATAATTAATCAACGTAATTTTGCCTTTTTCTTTAGGTTTCTACCAGAATTCCATTTGTTGGACTCTTTTTTGGGGGTTGCGATGGAGCCATAAATGCTGCGATGGAGCCAGCACTCCAAACCAACCACAGAAGCCGTCAGAAATCGTCGAAAAAATGATGTTCACATTAAGTGGCCTACTTGTGATGTAAGTTTTATATCTATGTTTATCACAGCACATCATAAATACATCCCATTTCTACTCATTCATCTCCACTGCTCCTAAAGTCATCTATCCAGTCTATCTAGCACCTTTCTGGCCCCATATGGTGGTTTCCCAAGTCAGTACCCCGAGTCATCATCCATTGATGGGTTCCTCCATGAAATCATCCAGCTATTGCCAGCTATTGGGGTACCCACCTATTTATGATATGGACATGGAATAGAGTATTCACCCATGATTAACCCATGATTCACAATTCTATTCACCACTGTACATCAACCATATATCAACCATATCATTGTTAACCCATGATTAACTGATAACCGGTATATTAACCCTCCATTTTGGGGGACCACGGATCCTCCCAGAACCATCACTGGCGCCTTCACGGGTTCCAGGCACTCCAACGGGAACTTCTCGGAGCGGATCTGACGCTGCGACTCCGCCCAGGCGCCAGGCCGAGGCCGAGAAAGGTGGGACTTATTTTTCTATGGCGGTTACTCCAATAGCTGAGTGGTTTACAATGGAAAATCCGAACATACCTGAGAAGGGGTGGAACGAAAGCCAGCGCTTGCTTTTTGACTCGCGGAGGATTGGTACTGGTCGTCGGCTGCAAATCTAAGACCTGGGAGCGCTGCAACCCATCTGCCACAAAATGATGTGGCTGGTAACGAAACTGCAACAGAAAATGTTTCAAAGTGATGTCGATGTTGTCATCTGTGTCATCTGTGTCGCTACCAATGGCTGACTGCTCCAAGGCACCGATCAGCTCCATGACGCAAGGTGTTGGCGACTGTCGCCAAATCGAAGCCGAAGACGTCCTGAATTCCATGTACAGCTATCTTGCAAATGTGACAGCACCGCATACTTGTGTGGAATGAGAAGCTCTCACGAAATAATTCCGGAACCTTAGGAGTGGACCTTCCAGCTTTGTGGTGCATTCTCTTGCATTCTCTGATGTTCTTTGGCCCCATTCTTATTTCTTCTCGATACCATAGCACTCTACTGCTTCGATTCACTAGCTTTACCCTGTCCCCAGGTTTGTAAATCGTTATAAATACAAATAGATAATCCAATGACATTCTTAGAAAGGCTAATAAAACTTGTTTGCGAAAGAGCCTGGCATCTAGTTATTTCTGCATCGCTTCCCTACGTTGCTGTCCGTATTGTTACAAGTTTTTTTGGTATTTTCATGAATTGCGATAATGTAAAGGAAATTACACGTAACGTCACTAGGGTTGGAACTAATATTCATTGATCTTGTCAAATAGGTATAATCTGCCGTGTGCTCAGTCCTTGGTGACAGCGTTGCCTCTTTCAACTGCGAGGTAGACCTGCACAGCTGTGAGATAGAGCTGCAGCTGAACCGAAGAAAGAAGGAGCCAAATATGGATAATGGTATCAAAGGGGTAACAATAGAAGTAACCTTAGGTGATTAGGGTTATGGATGGTGAGGAGATGGCGCGCGACAAGGTCAGGATTTTCCGTCGGTTTCCGCGTCGTGGTAGCTGTTGAGAAGGTTCTGCGTCAGGTGAAGAAAGAATTCACGATGGCTGGCGGCGAGGCAAGACAGGAATTGCCCGGGAGGATGTACGAGATTGCAGAAGCGGAAGTGTGACGAGGTTGCGCAGATCCTGCAGGTGCAGTTTGGCAAGAATAGCGTCGAGATTGTGCAGCGTTGAAGTCTCGTGTTTGTGGAAGGTGATGTAAGCCTCCCGAAGGTACGCAGGACGTGGTCGGTTTAGAGCGGTAAAATCTGGCAGGCGCAGAAGTAATAGATCATCCATGTGTCGCACACGACTGAGGAGAACCAGGCAAGCGATCCAGTAGTCATCCTGGCTTTGTGTGTGTGAGTGGGGGACGGGTCCGAGAAGGAAAGGGGAGCAAAAAGAAAATAATTGAAAAAGGCGAGGCGCAGGTTTCATTGCAGGTGGCCGTGCAAGGTCCAAGATGAGTGCAGGTAGGGTCTGGCCTTGTAGAGTGTAATGTGTCATTGCAAAGGTATTTGTTAAAGGAAGTTGGCAGCGATGAAGTAGCATGTAAGCTTTGTTTTCAGTATCAAATTGAACAGCATCTGCTGGAGGATGCCGCGGATAAAATTTCCATGCGTGAGTGGCAGGACTCAAAACGAATCGACCTTGGCCAAGGGCAGCATGTTTGACCCACGAAACATCTTGTACGCGAAGCAAAAGGGCAGTGGGCACATGAAGAAGAGGATGCGGAGGGAGACTGGCATCGCGCTGAAAGTACCTTGGAAGCAGAGTATGTTAGAATGGGCGATGGGTAAAGCCAAACAAAGTCAAGGTACGGTTCGTTGTCAGCAAGGATGATGTCTTCAACCAGTACGATGCACCCTCGAACAACGCCGAGCTCAGGGCAAAGTCGGGTTTCGAGGCACAGTTCGATGCCAGGATAGAGAGCAAGAAGGCCAGGAAGATTTGCAGTTACAGAGAGAGTGTGGACGGAGGCCGCCTCTTGGGCCAGGGCGGGTGTCAGGTAGACGTCCCGATTTCCGAAAGAACATCGATCGGCAGCAATTGAGAGAAGTAAACGGTGTCCAGCAGCTGCGGCGGCTTGCTGCGCTCGTTGCAAGGTTTTCATGGCACGTATGGTGTGTCGCATGACGCCGACAGGACAGGTTCGTGGTTGGAATTTGGAATCCAGCAGGCGAGTATCGTTTGCTTGGAGAAGGCGACTTTGCAGGTGCTGCCAGGAAGATGCTGTAACGCCTTTATCGGAGGCAAGGTCTTGCAAAAATTGGCTGAGTGGTCCTTGGCACCGGTGACTGTGATCCAGGATGAGAACTGTTGTGATTTGTCGCCATATATCCGCGCCAAGTGCGGCTTGGAGTTGGGAAGCGGTCAGCGCAGCAGTGGAAGTAGCTGTCGCGGTCAATGGCTGGATTAAGCAGGTAGCGCCAACGGGGGGAAGTTGATGAAAGTCACCAGACAAACGTACGGCAAGGCCACCCCAGAGCACAGCAGCTACGTTTACGATCTGTCTGCAGCGAAGGTCGGTGAGAGCAATGACCTCATTAGACAGCATAGATGCCTCATAAATGAGGAAAGTGGAGATGTGGCGCCAAAGGAGTTGAAGTGCTTCCTTCTGTTTGCCAAGGGATGCTGCAGCAGCAGAGGTACTTGTTGAGTCGAATGGTAAGGCCAGGCAAGCATGTAGAGTTTGGCCTCCGATGAGTCTTGCCGCGCGGTGAGTATATGCAGCTCGCAGTGTAGAGTCTGGCAAGAAAAAATGCAGGAGTTCGATCGCTAAATTGGAGACAAATGTTTTGCCAGTACCCGGGCCACCAAGAAGCAACGACGATTGAAAAGGTGGTGCGGTGGTGGACACGCCCCAAGTTTTGTTCAAGGTTGCTTGTAGCCATGACGCAACCAGAAGAAGGTACGCTGCTTGCTTTAAATTCAACGTGTTGTCGGAGGTGTTGCAGCGGCCATTGCGCAGCCAAGAAGCAAGGTGATCAAAAACCACAGTTTCGGTTTTGGGGAAAGGACCAGTTTCCAAGTGAAGGTGTGGTTGAAGAGGAGCCGGTTGGGTAGAAGCAGTAGAAGCATTTGTCAGGACAGAGTCCCAACACTTTTCATCGCGTTGGAGTTGTCGCAAAGACATGTGGGAAGGAAGGGGCCATCCAGTATAGATCTCCAAAGGATTCGTAGCAAAGTCGGTGGTCTGTGGGGTCACAGCATCGTCCAAGACGCGGAAAAGAGCAACGAAGCTGGCAGTCACGCCTGGGAGGGGAAGCAGTTCTGATCGCGCAATGGCCACGAGTATATCGAAGGTGGCAGCGAAGGCAGGAGAAGTGCGAAGTGAATCATGCCGATTCGTGTCCTGACATAGGGTGGGCATAGTCAGATGGCAGTGTAAATAGAAGTTCTAGGTAAAATACTGAAAATAAAAAAGAAAGTCAAGGTAGCAAAATGCAGAGTGACTAAAATTTTGTTAGCGTTATTGTTTATAGAGTCAGGATAGTAGCTATTACGACTGTAAAGAGTTGGATAGGAAAAAAACGCAACTGGATAGGAAATGTAGCGGGTTCTAGTAAGAAAGGGGTTTCTATTGGAAAGACAGCTTGAAATAGCCAAAAAAGCGTTAAAGGAGTGAAGAGACTTCTGCGGGCACGGGCTGGGTAATCAAGTCGAAGTCGGCAGTATGCAGGTGGTCTAAATCAGAGACGTCTGAATCAGAGTCGTCGGGAGCAGGTGGGAGGTCGGATTCGATGGTGATGGTATTGAGGAGACCACGCAACTCATCAGGATTGCAGCGAAGCTCACGGTCAGCAGTTGCGGGGTCTGCGCTGGAGTTGTTGTCAATGTGGGCAATAATATGTAAGGTACGCTGTGCCCAGTAGGCAGGAGTGAAAGGTGGAGCCCGGGAGTTGTCGGACGGCAGCATGGCTTGTAAGGCTGATAGCCACGCAAGAAAGTGATCGTTCCAGCATGAGTACCCTTGGGATGCAGGAAGCAGATCTCGTATATGCATCCAGGGTTTGAACAAGAGAAGTAGTAGGAGGGCATGTCGTTCAGAGTCCTCGTTGCTGGAGGGAATCCGTGGGCCCATGAGATGTGGGATTCGCCAGGGTTGGTGTGTGAGAACTTGTTGCCGGATCGTGTGAGTATTGGGTGGAGGGGTGAAAATGGAATGCAGCCGGGAGTGGTAAGTGCGGATTTGGAGCTGGCGACACGCGCGACACCGGCAGCATAAAATAGAGAGGCCAAGTTTGCAGGTCCTCGCCTCGAAATGGATAATCGTCGCTGGAAGGAGACCAAAAAGATGGACCGCAAGGAGCACCACCAGGGACCGCGGGTGAATTGAACGGTTCAGGATCATCGGCAGTTGGTTGCAGAAATAAAGCGGAACGAGCTTGCATTTCGGTATCAGCCAGGTGCGAGCCAGCCAGTGGATGAGCAGCTTCAAGTTGGGCTGCCAAATGGAAGAAGAAAAGTTTGTGAAAAGAATGGGTGGAATATGCGTCGGTGTGTCCCAGGAGATAGGAAATCATCTCTTGCATTGACTTGTGCACTCGCTTCTGGCAGGAAAGTAAAAGTCGAGATAGGGTAGTGCGAGCACGAGCGCGTGGGTCTTGTCCGTCAAGGGTACCAGAACTGATATCATTTTGAAGTTTTTGGGTGGCTGAATGAAGCAAGTCCCAAAGGGAGGTAAGCTGTGGCTGTGTCTTGGTAGTGTAGGAAGTGACGTAGAAGAGCAAGGTAGACATGTTGGCAGACATTCTGTTGCAAATAGTTGTAGCTGCATCTGGAACAAAGGCATAATCCGCTGGGAAACGGAGAAGTGTGGACACATCGTGATTACATTTACAGGCCATGAGGATGATGGGGTTCACCCGTCCGAAAAATTGATGGTGTCGCTCAGTTTGGAAAGTGTCGCAGTGTGGCGGTGTGGTACCAAGAAGGGGACGAGGACATAGCTGTATACCATGACACCGCTCCCAGGTGTGAGGCTCAATCTGTAACCAATGCCAAAATCCTAAGCGGCAATAGCCGCGTCGGCCCAGCTTCCCTTTGTAGCATGTCCTTGGCTGGCAAGAATGCAAGAGACCACTGTATAGGACCGAAGTGCGAAGATCAAACAGAAGTACTGTGCCTTCGTCTGGTTGTACAGGATACTGCAGTGTCTGGACATAGTCAAGGCAGAAGGGTACGAAGGGTTTGTCAGCAGGAATCTCCAGATTGAAAGGATGGTCGGAGGAGGCAGTGGCTGGCAGGAGCTGATCTGGAAGCGCGGCAAACCAGTTGTCGACTGAAGCTTGCAAATGGTGCTGGTTAGGATGGATGCATAAGCATCATGTTGGCATCTGAGTACGGTAGGGGGCGGACGGTTTGCAAACTGGCCGCGGGCAGCCCGAAGACAGAAGGGATTGCTTCAAAAGATGTGACGACGATGGACCGTATCCAATCCCAAAGCCGCGCCTCCAACAAGGGAAGGCGAGATATGAAGCGGTCAAGTAAGGACCGAGGGTCCTGGAACCCATAGCAGAATAACAACAGGTGTATGTGCAGACTGCCACGTTGTTGAGGCTCGATGGAACCGAAAACAGCGGAAAGAGGCCCAAAGATGCCAGCGCCATTTTGTGAAGCAAGGCCGTCCGCTGACAAATGTTGGCTGGTAGACGGCACATCCAATAGGGTTCGTAAGAAGGTATCGACATGGACATGAAATGCCTCTACTGCAGCCATTGGGTCTTGCGCAACGATGCGCCAGAGATGTGCACTTCGCAGCGCTTCCAGGAGGTGTTGGTCCAAAAGGGTAGTTGGTAAAGGAGTGGGCTCCGTGGATAGGGCATGGCGCCAGGTGAAAGGATGAAGTACATCCGCTGGGTTCAAGGTTACAAAAAGAAGCGGGTACCCAAAATAAGTGGTCAGAGACGCAAGCTCACCACGCATGATACGTCGGGCGGCATCAGTACCTGGAACCTGTCCTTGTACAGCTTGGAGGCAGCGAAGAATTTTTCGCATATCCTGAGAGAGATCTGCAGCTCGAAGTGCTTCAGGGATAGAACCACTCCTTTGTAGGCTGAAGGCAGGTAAAGGGTGGTGGAAACTAAAAAACGTAAATGGAAAGCTTTTCACTGGTAGTACGCAGGGAAAAATAGAATAGTTCAGAGGCAAGTAGCTCGCCAACTGTGGCAGCAAGTTTGGTCCAATCAGTGGAGCGAAGCAAGGTGAGAGATGGTATCTGTTCGCGAAAAGTGGGTGCTTGGACCCGAACCCGCACGGCTCGCAGGAGACGGCGACGGTGGAGTATGGAGAAGAGGATTGAAACGAAATCGAGGTCAGTACGCCAATGACAATCAGCGGAGCGGTCTCTTCGTCGAAGTAGAAGAGAACCCCAGTCATGGTCGGACAGATACCGTTGGCGAGGTTGGCCATCAATGCCATCTCCAAAAGGGAAGAGTGCTGGAAAACACATTGACCAAAAGGATGGGTCATAGCTGTCGAGGGGCGTGTCGGCATGGGGCACAGCAACATATAGTTTGTGTGCTTGGGATGCTGAGGCAGATTGGTGCAGGGAATCCGCTTCAAAGGAACGATGATTGCTCGCTTGTGCAAGATGTTGCAAAGCATGACTGGCAAGTTGAATGTCCGCTGTTGCGGCGTCGGGTTCTCGAGCGATGTGACGCTCAAAGCGCTCGCAGGCAAGCAGCGCGGTGTTCCAGAGGTGTACAGGATCTGTCTGATCGAGGCTGGGATCGAGCACGGCAGCATGAATGGCGGAAGTAGGCACGGAGGCGGAAGAAGCATCGGCAGGCCCAAACTCGCGGGTAAGTGGAACTGTTGTCAAATGAACATTGCTGGCCCATTCAGGTGGCACACCGTGATGAGGGAGGGTTGCCAAAGTAGCTTCGTCAATGGTGACATCTGCATAATAGGGATTATGCTGAGTTAGCCAGAGAAGCGCCGCATGTACTTTGGAACGGCGAACCACAAACTCGGGACACAGATGCAAGTTGCTCTGGGTCTCATCTGTGAAGAAGACACTTAGGTAGTCCGATAGACGGAGAGCGGAAACTGGAAGTATTGAAAAGATGGTGGCTGAATTCTGTGGAAATGCTATTGCGCTTGCTGTGCCCCGAAGACCGCGCTGTCGTGCTTCTGGGTCACCAGAGGTTGTCAAAGTACGAAGGCGTCGTAGCGCAAAACCGCGAGCGATGAAAATCTGTTCTCCAAGTGAGAGGAAACGGAGTTCCGAAGGAGGATATACACAGGCGTTGTTATTGGCCAAGGCTTTTGCAGGTAAAGCAGGCGCAGAAGTAAACAAGCAAGTTCGGCAATCGGAACAAATAGCGCAATGCAATGGAGTATTGGAGCAGAGTGCTTGAGTGTTCCAAGTGTCTTTCGGGTGACCGGATGAAAGGAAAAGCATCCACACATCCTGGGCAAAAGACTATGTGAGACGGAGTTAGAAGGTTTGCACATAAGTCATAAGGGAAAGAAGTATGAAGACAACTGAGCCCTAAAAAATGACAAGAATGGACAAGAGACAGGGTTGAATTGGTGAAGTTCTTGTGGCAGGGGTGGAAATTGATTTTGCAAATGCTCCAATGTGAGACCAATAAATGTTGTGGGGAAGGAGAAGTCAGCAAACATTGCACGATAGCGTTCCAAGAAAAATTGTCCAGAAAGTAGAGAATGAAGGTGTGGAAGACCACACGGAAGAGCACGCAAATCCACAAGGTTTTCGTGTGTGTTCCAGGATGGGCAAGCACAAAAAGCACAGGGCGCAGGTGGTGCAAGGCAATCTTCAAAATGATGACGATAAGCATGTAAATGAGCCAGGAGGTAGGGTGTCTGGATGGCAGCAGGCCAAGCCTGAGCTGCTTCAGCAAGCCGCAGGCGTCTAGGATCTGAGGAGTGCCCTGCAGACTGCATGTCGGATGCGTAGAATCTAGGTTCCAAAGACGTAGAAGCACAGGCAGCAGCCAATCGTGCAAGACGATCTGTGGAGGACAAGCAGCGAAAATCCCATTGCGCCGCAGGATAGGGCATGCAAGCGTCGAAGCATCGAAGGAACTCAGCAAGGGACATAGCCGGTTGTGCATGAAGATAATGAAGGAGTTCAGCAACAACAATTACAAAGCGAGATGCAATGCGACGGCGCCAGCGTTGGCCTAAGTACGAACGATCCAGATGCAGCAGTTCATCGGCGTTCTGCAGGCAACAGGCGGACTGAATTTCAGTCCAGAGGCTGCGAAATTCTGCTAGGGACCACGCTTGTTGACGGTAACAGGCTGTTGACTGCAATATTGTAAGAAGTTCATCCACGAAATTGCTGCGGGAGAAGTTCATCCACGAAATTGCTGCGGGAAGTAGGAACGAAGCAGTACCATTGATTCCCGGCGTAGTTGCAAGTGCGTGACTGGAGATCACAGGGTTGAGAAAGGAGAGCCCGAGCACTTTCCCGAGTAGGGCATTGGACTGCTTGCAGCTTTCGTTGCAAAAATGTGAAATATTCGCTGAAGTAGTTACGAAGAGGCACGCGCGAACGTGTCCACTGGATCGACGTCTCATGCGGTAGCTTGATCTGCTGGGTAGGGATGTTCATGTGCTCATTTTCAGTGGAAGATGCACGAGAAAAGTAGATGGCAGCTTGCCAAAGAAATTCAAAATCTTTTCCAGAGAATAATTCATTCAGTACTTCTGGTTGCTGTTGCAAAAAAGTCACGACGGCTTCGAGTCGCAGTTGCTGAGCCGAAGATAGATTGGCCGGAAAGTAAAAAGACTGTGTCTTGTAGCGAAAGTGACGCCGGGGCATGAGGCAGGGCAAATGCTGTGAAGCGGCTCTGGTTTTGTCGGAACGAAAACTATGTTGTAGGATATCTTCGAGCAGTTATACGTAATATTGCGACTAGATAAAGTAGTGGGCAGCAGAGAATGTAATTATATTGTACTACTATGTTCAGCTGAAATGTCTGGAAACTTGCTGGGGGGGTACGCATCGAGCCAAAGAAGTGCATAGTTGAAGTGAGCATGAAAAGAAATGCAATACTGTAGTACCGTAAATAGGAGATTGTGATGCTTTACGGCAGTATTTTGAGTAATATGAGATAGATACAGTAGTTGTTAACCCAAAGGGTTTGTAGCTGCAGGGCCTGGTTTGTGAAATGTAGAAATATATATATATATATTTATATATGTATTTATTTAATGATATGTACGTGAAAGCATGGCAGCAATGAAATGTGAGAGGTAATGTGGTCCGTAGTGGCGTGGATGTGCATAAAAAGGCTAGATCGAACTTCCTTCAGTTACAACGAAGACTGGATTCAAATTCTAGAAGTGGGCTTTTTGTAGAGCTGAAGCGAAGAATTTGCGAGAATATTTACTCACAGGAAGGTGCAACAAGTTTTATTCGAGGGACCAAACTCGTGGTGCATTGACATGTAGAGATAAAGCAACGTCAAATTCTCACACAACTTCCTGATTGGGTTCTATATCGACAGGCATGAGGCAATGACATTCCTGTTGTGCGATTCCAAACTATACAGCGGGTAGCGAGAGTACAGTCCGGGGCAATGTCACCTGTGGGGCTTGGTATGAAAGAAGTTGAAGTTCAGATTGGGCAGATATTACAATGATATGAGACGGTGTTTCTACATGTAATATTTTATACATGTTTTACTGCGGAAGTTCCGTGCAGGTTGCTTTGCTTGATCTGTCATGGTATTTTATAGTGGCAGCTTCCGCCTCGGGACTGACTCGTTTGCTCGTGGTCCTGGTGACCTGCGCAGGTTTTGCAGAGGATAGTACAAAGTAGTAAATGTTGAGCAGGAAATCCGATTTGGTTTCAGTAGATAATGTTAGATGATGAGCAATGTTTTGGTAATAGGAAATAGTGGCTGACTCGTGTAGAAGACATTGTCATGAAACGTTGGAGCAAGATGCGGATGGTATAGGAAAAAGGATGTGCGAGTGGTAAGATTTTAGGAGTTGCATGGGAAAATTGGTTTCATGGTACTCTGTGTGAAGTTAGAAAAGTGCGATTTCATTCACAGAGTAAGAAAAGTAAATACAATCTGCAGATTAGAGTATTTATAATGCTTAAAGCTGTTTGACGTTTTTTGGTGCCTCCCTGATTCTGGTAGTTTTGTGATAGGAACTACAAAAACGATCTACTGGTAAACGGAAGGAATAGTCTTTCAGGTTTAGAACTGAGTCGACTGTCAAGTGATGCATAGGCTCCAGGCCTCCGGTTATGGTCACGAAGCATTGGAATGAAGATTGCGCTCAGGAGCCACCTAGGTTAGGAAACAAATGCTGTAATATCATTGTTGTAAGAGGCCGTACTGAGAAGGCTGAAACAGAACCAAAAGTGAATCTTGTACTAAAACGTCGAGAAAGAATTTGAATTTTCTAATTCTAATGGCACTGAATGGGAATGATATGCATCTTTACGTCCGTGATAGTATGTGTGCTTTTTAAAAGAGATGTTTGGTGAGTGTGATAGCTGAGAAGATTTTCCGGGATGCCAAACAATTATCTCTATCGATGTCCGGGATGATGCTATTCCGCGACATTTCCTGTAAAATACCTATTTTCCAGACCCTTGGGGGGTGGGGGGGGGTACCCAGGTCTGTAAATGGCCTAAATATATATAGTTTTGATTTGGACTGCATGTTCGCCACTTCAATTCTCATACCTGTTCTTACGTATGTTATAATATTGTCTAGGGTTTGCACTGCCCATTTTGCGGTATCTTTACGTCCGTGATAGTATGTGTGCCTTTTAAAAGAGATGTTTGGCGAGTGTGATAGCTGAGAAGATTTTCCGGGATGCCAAACAATTATCTCTATCGATGTCAGGGATGATGCTATTCCGCGACATTTCCTGTAAAATACCTACTTTCCAGACCCTTGGGGGGTGGGGGGGGTACCCAGGTCTGTAAATGGCCTAAATATATATACTTTTGATTTGGATAGCATGTTCGCCACTTTAATTCTCATATCCTTTCTTACGTATGTTATAATATTGTCTAGGGTTTGCACTGCCCATTTTGCGAGTAGAGCTATTGGCTTACTTCGCAGTCGCGGAATGCGATTGCATTGCATTCCAAAGGAGAAAAAGTGGACCATGCGACCGACCCCGCCTAAAATTCGGACCTGTAATTCTCTCTCAAGCTTCGTAACAAGGCGACCGAGACTGTAAGTTTGGTTTTCGGCAAAATGTTTGCACCAGCGGCAGCAGCAGCAGGAGGAAGCAGCAGCAGCAGCAGCAGGAGGAGGAAGCAGTAGCAGGAGGAGGAGGAAGCAGCAGCAGCAGGAGGCAGCAGCAGCAGCAACAGCAGCAGCAACAGCAGCAGCACCAGCAGCAGCAACGGCAGCAGCAGCAGCAGGAGGCAGCAGCAAGGAGCAGCAAGCAAGCAAGCAGAAAGCAAGCAGAAAGCAAGCAGAAAGTAGCAACCAGCGTTTGCCCCGTTGAAAGAATAATGAAATATAATATAAGTTTTATAAATCAACGCAATACAAAAATGGACTTTTTTCTAGGCGCACGGCCCTAAAACAATGAAATCGTCCAATTACTAAAAGTTGTGGGCAGATTTACATATCTTTGGGACCATTACCCTCTGGTGAACTAACATAGCAATGGAAAATCACCATTTTTAATGGGAAAATCCACTATAAATGGCCATTTTCCATTGCTATGTTAGTTCACCAGAGGGTACCATTAACCATGGGGGTCTTTAATCTTAGCATTTTTCCTCCCACCGATGTTTAGGCTCTCGGACGTTGAAGCCACGGTACCAAGGTGTCATTGCCACCGGCGCTTCCCTACGAGATGTCCGGAGGTTTCCAGATTTTACTCAGAAGAATCATGGATTTAAGGCCACTTATGATCATGAAACTATAAGTACAATGATGATAATCTAGTATAATTAAAATAGTTCTATTACTTATAGTACAATGAATCACTATTGGAATTATAATCATGTGAGCCATTGTACTGAATCTCATCCACACTGCAATGATCTCATGGTCCAACACAACCGAACTTGACATGTGGCAGGGTCAAACGGGAATGGATCAATATTCAAGGCCGGGGCCAAGGGGACCACAGATTCTCTTCATGGTATTCATGGTTAATATTAACCATCTAATTTTGGCTACTATTGACCAACATATGAAAACATAGATACCATCAATATTGATCATACCAGAGATATTTTATTCCATACCCCAAAAGTACATACCATCAATTTTGGTCAATAGATACCCCATTGGAGAAGGGGCTGCTGAGCTTCAAGATCATCAACTTCTGGCCCCGTTGTTTTCATCAAAAATGAACCATTCCCCATAACCGTTGCCTTGGAGTCTTTTCAAACCAAAAATTTGGATTTCAGAATGTATGCCACCAATTGTCCAATTCAATGCTATAAGGCTGTATGTATATTTGTATACATATGTACATATATATATAATATATGGAAAGAGAGAGACATGAAAAAACGGAAAGTCGCAGGATATTCCGCAAGGAATGAAATGGAAAAAATCTTCCAAGTGTGGATTATTCGCGACAAATAAACAGGATTATTCCATAGGTTCCAATGCCATGTTTTGCAAAGCCATATTTTGCCGCCCATCCGGTGCACCCACGGAGCATCAAGCGGAGATTGGAAATCAAGTCACGCCTGAGAAAGGGGCCCAAAGAAGGGGCAGTGTTCAAAAGTCTGGCTAAGAGGAAACTTGGGGATACTTGTGTACATAGTTGTACATGAGAACATAGTGGTGCATGTGTGCATAATATATATATATACAGTATGTGGATGTATGTGTGTAATTGTATATTTAATATTATTCATATGTCTATATATATATATATGTATCTATATATATATGCATATGTATATATATATGCATATATATATAATATATATATATATGCATATGTGTATGTATATAAATAGAGAGAGAGAGAGAGCAAACTAAAGTCTACTTACAGTATGCTTTTATCAGTATTTATCTATTAGCGCACACACAGGAAAAAAACAGCGCTTCTGGTGTGGCTTTCCCCAGTTTCTGAGGGCTCTCGCGGGTTGTAGTTCGGAATACTGAACGACCAGCCGGTGCCAATACCTAGCGATCCCAGCGGTTCGCGGGTAGAATGGACATGGTTGGCGCTACAACTTCTGCGAGCTGATATGACTTGACGCTAGGGCTAGTAGGGTCAAATAGAAACATGTCAACAAAACATTGCGCACAGCGATGAAAAAGTGTTCGAATCAATAACCTATCAAATAAAGAACTATCAAAATCTATACGAAACACTGCGCGCACGCAGGTGTGATACGACTCCAGGGTGTGCATTTTCCACGCTTCCAACGCGGATTTTCTATGTTCAAAAGCGCATCTTTCCGCTCCGCAAAGGATCAATTTTCTACCTTATAAGTGGTCATTTTCCAATCTTTCCGCTCTTTAAAAGGATCAAGTTTCTACCTTATAAGTATTCATTTTCCACACTTCCAACGCCGGAGTTTCCACGTTTAAAAGCGCATGTTTCCACATTTCAAGGCTCCATTTTTGCAATTTTCAGCGGTCTTTTTGGAATTAAAGCCAAAGGGCCCAGATGCCACGTTTGAACCTTCAAATGTTCCACGGTCCGTGTTTGTTTCTCATATATACGTTGCCGCATAGCCGCATAGTAAGTTGTCAGGAAAAACAGCAGGAAAATGCAACTGCGGCACAGCGTCCAACAAAATGTGCTAGAAAGAGATGGCCCTCTCGGTAGAAAAAGATCAGAAAAAAAGGGTCTTGCTCATGC